CAGCTGAATATGCATCTATTAAAGCAGTTAATGCCTTTGTAACATGTTAGCTGCGCTGCACATGGATATACGTGAATAACATTTCAGTATTAAACATCCTTTTTATCGGTCTTGTAATGCATATCCTAATTTCACAAAACAATGAATTTTGTATTTTCATTAGCTAAAAGCCATAATCACCAAGGTTACCAGAAGTGTGTGGGTATTACCTCTGTTTAATAGGCCAGTTTCACTGTTTAAACTGAATAGCTGAAATACATTTTTTAAGTTTTGCGTCCTGAAGTATTGAGATAAATCTGTGTAAACAACATAAATGGTTGTAAACAACAAAGCTGCCCACTGCTACATAAATGTATGAGGGTGGCCGTTGTATGTAGAAAAACCATCATCATCCACATGAGATGCATGGAGGTGCCACTTCTTGTTACACTATGATGCTGCTCTGGTGATGCTGCATTGATGTGATGGGTTTATGGTGGAGGTTAGTGTAAAAAATCAGACCCATTGTTACTGTATACTGTGGAGGAGAGGGCTTTGATAGAATGTTCCAGGTCTTTACCTCTATCCCCAACCCCTGCCTTATTACGTGTAGAACAGCAGAGTGTACCTGAGCTGGCAGAAACTATCAATAAACTTCATGAAATTGATATTTACTGCATAGCTATATTCAAAATAAAAATATTTACACATAGCTAATTTATGCTAATATTTTAAAGCAAAAATAATTTTTTTTTCCTTGCATGATCATAATGTATTCCTAATATATCAGACCTATCAATGTAACGATAGCTATGCTGTTCACTTTGTATTGTCCAAGGTGTATTTCTGGAGTCAGATGAATCACAAATGGTTTTCTCCACATCTTTATGAAATCTGTTTGCCAGTAATACACATAAAGATCTGTTTAGCTGTTTTAGCAAAGGTTATATAGATAAAGTAAAGCTAAAATGTGCCTTTAAGTCTAATTCTTACAGGTAATTTCTTTCTAACCCCCCTGGCATTCAGACACAAACATCTGGAGATCCAGAGTTGTTTCATCTGGCTCTATATACACTATGTGTATTTTACTGTAGATATGTGATTTTAACTCTGAACTGTACATTAAATAGTTATTACGCACTTACCCTTGTGGTTGCTCATTAATTAATCACATTAGAAATCCTGAGAGGGAATAACTGTTGCGGTGTTTTGACCTGTTCCCACCAAAAACAGAAATTATTGAACCGTTTTTATGTTTCTTTTTACTTCTTTAAGTTTCGAAATTGATAAACTATGCAAGAAAAAAAAAAATACAAGCAATAATTTAGTCTAAGAAAAGTTTTAATTAAGCTGGAAGACAGTAGTTTAGATATTAGGAGCCATTTAATGAACTATAGATTTCAGTTTCAACGGTAATATTCATAGGGACGGTTTACGCTGCTGAAGGAGACAAGTAGCACATTGAATTGTATCTTTTTCCAACAAAAGCAAATACTTTAAACAGAATAGGTCGAATCATAAATTTCTTACTAAAGCTCTCAAGTGACATTTTAATTGTCAATATTAAATTTAGTAAAAATGATAAAAACATACAACACTGGCATGACTGTATTTTGATCGATCTTTTTGATATGCATTTATTTAAAAAACAATTAGGTTTACATCAGTATTTCAGATTCTGCAGTTTTAGAGTACTGAATAATCTAGTTTAAAATGATTTTTTAAAACCAAGCAACAGGGTTTCCATGTAAGGTTGGAGCCTTTCTGATTTTAACATAGTCATGTTGTTTCAAATATTTACAAGGAAAAGCAAAGAGAAAAGCCAAAGAAACGAAAAATCAGCCTGTATTGAAATCTTCAAAGAGCGATACAAAATAAAAACTTATTGCTGCTCTAAATGCAGAAAATCATGAAACACAAAGAAAATACTATTTTTCTTCTCCCTTCATAATTTAATCCAAAAGCAAACATCCTTCAAATATTTGAAATGCTTAAAATGCCACAAAATGCAACATTTTTTACTACTGAAAATATGCTTTCGCACCAAATAAGTTTGGCTACATTTCTAAATCCAAGAAAACAGACATTCCATATTTAATAAATACATGCACCCAGTAACTATTTTACATCATTAAATTTAAAGGAAGAAATATTATTTTTCCCAGTAACGGTTGTTTTACATACCACTCAATGTGTTGGTTTTTATTAGCACACGTATCACTTTAATCATGTGGAGAGAAATAAAAACAGTTAGCTGTTGACAAGCAATCACTAACCAGTAAAAGCCAATGGTGCAAAACAAGTTTACAGAATACCATAATAGTATTCCTTTTAAGTAGCAAACCTTATAAAAAAGCATTACAGAAATAAAAAGAACAGTTATAACAAGTAATGTTTCACAAATGGTCATCATTATGTAAATATTGGTCTATTTAACTGCCTATTATTCAGCATGTCAGTGTTAAACGTAATAATCTTCATAACTATGGTAACAAAGTGCACAAAAATAAATACAAACAGAAATAAAAAGCTTGAAGATAAAAAAAATTAAATTAATAAATTGCTTTTCATGCTAATATACAATCTTGCAATCGGCAGTGGAACAAATACTTTATTTAAAAATGAGAAACAGTATAAGTGTGAAGTTCTAGCAGTGAAATAGCCTGTGGTCTTTCATCCGATCCTGCATTACATCTTGGAAAATAGAGTATTAGGTAGCAATGATTGGAGAGAAATACTTTAACCTCAAGAGGAAAAACAAGTTTTAAAGGAGCTAAAAAATGAATTTAATCCTGTAATTTACTGCAGCGGATCTGTCAAAGAAGGTTGCTGGTTCCCAATGTGTAGGTAATAAAATCCTTACATCCTGGGAGCCCATTTAATTAAAACAAGCATACAAAACAAGTGAAGCTAAAACAATAGGAGGGAAGCATTATTATACATCTATGGTTTCTAAACTTCACTGCGTCTACTAAAGGAGTCAATATTATCTGAAGTAAAGCTTAATTGTTCACAAAGATAGAAGTATCCAAATCAATAAATATCAATGCACCAAAACACCATAACATGAAGACCACTGAGATGTAAACTGGATCCACAGATTACTGGGTTTTTAACATCAACAAAAATAATAAAAAATGTATAATAGCATTTACTGTGGAGAATTTCACCACTGGCACTTCCCAATTAGGCAGATGGTCCCAAAAAAAAAAAAAAAAAAATGTATATTAGCATTTACTGTGGAGAGTTTCACCACTGGCACTTGCCAATTAGGCAGATGGTCCCATTAGAATAACAGCCGATTGGTGTTTGTTGAATAATCCATCCATGTATACGTTTTAAGAAAAAAAGATAAATCTGAATTTTGAGGTTTTGTTTTAAGTTTGTAAGTATTTAATCTCTCAGTGAGCTGCATCTAATCCAACCAAAAACAGACTTTAAAGGTTTAAGAACAATTTTAACCTCAAAAAGCATCTAGTCCAAAATATTTTCCCAAAGGTGATTGATGACAGAGAAGATAGAGATGGGGGGTAATGCATCATTAATGATCTAGTAAATGTAAATAGTAATGTAGTAAATGTACAAAATGTAATCAAGTAGATTTTATATTAGTAGGTTATCTTCACCGGAAACAGGTTTGTTCTCCACAGCATTACTGGATGCAAGCTACCTCCTTTCTTTGTGTGATGTAAATATCCATCACCTGTGTGTAAATCACTGGCTATTGTAGAAATAGCAGAACTTAGCAGTTTATGTGAATACTTTGTTACCCTGCAAAGTTACATTTGATATTGAAGTTTTAAAATTGTTCAAGCCGTTTTTGTTCTTGGCCCCTTTAGGCTAGCAGTTGGCTTTAGCCTGATGGACAAACCGATTATTTATTGTAAAAGAACCAAAAGAAGAACTCACTGGAAGACATTAACCTGCAACTTTTACCACTTCACGGGACCTTTTTGATGCAAGCCAGACCTGATGCGCCCTAATGCTGGTTGGTATCAATTGGGGGTAGGGGGAGCTGCAAAGGGAATGTAAAGTGGATACAGTGCATGAAGCATACAGATCTAATCAACAAGGCTGCTGTCATGCTGCAGATTAATGTAAGCAAAGCTGCTTGTATGTAAGCTCTATATTACCGAAATAGAACGGCAACAGCTTTCCAAGAACACTAATAAGGCATAAAGAAAAGTGCAAAATAATTTATACGTAGTGCTCCTGTCTCTCCAAGAGCAGCTTACATATACTCATCATGGGCATTAATCTAATTCATTTTGGACTTTCAATAATGCATTTGTACCTCAATGGGATCAAGTATGTTAGGGGGGTTTTGAAATCTAAGAACACTGTAGTAATTATTAAGCACAGTGGTGGCAAAGTCAAGCAATGGGGCTTTTAGCCATTTAGTCCAAAGCAATGGAGCCAATTGGTTAAAACTCTAGTCCAACGGGGTTAGAATCCAAAACTGGTCTTGGATTAGAAAAACCTGACATTAAACTGATAGGAAGCCCTGACCTAAACTATTTGTGAACTATTCTAAAAGCTTTCTACCTGGATGAGTGATTATATAGAGGCAGATTAATGTAAGGAAACGTTGGGGAAAAACATAAAAGTGTTTGATTCAGGGGCAATTTACTGTGGGACAAATGACTTAAGCCGGTAAGTTTAATTTTGAGCACTTATTACTCATCTACCATTGAAATTATACTTCTGCCCTAATTTTTTTATTTTCCAAGTTTAATGAGGTTAATTGCATAAGCAATTCAACAAGGAAACAGTAGTTTAATTAGCATACTAATGATATGTGTATATAAACTTCTGAATGGGACTGCATCAGTGTCTTATCATTTAAAAAAAGAAATAAAAAAAGAAATAGGAAAAAACTCAGCAAATTGTTCGGTTTTTACAAACCTGCAAATATAGATATGCAATATGAGATTTCACACACCTGTTCCTTTGTCTAAGGTTGTCAAGACTTTTACAAGTGAGAGAAAATTGGCAAAACTATTTAAAAAAAGAAAAAAAAAAAAAAGAACACAAAATCCATCAGGAACAGAAACTATTTCTTTACAAAAGGCCTATGATTTACTGACGCACTAGTTACAAGCACTTTGATTCGCAGGCATCTGGAGTTTATTCACCAAATAAGATAGCTATGAGGGAACAGCATTAAAAAAAACAATCTAAAATAGCTTGTTGCTTTAACTTTTTAAATGCAAAAAAAAAAAAAAAAAAAAAAACCATGACTGTAAAATGCTTTAAATATAACACCAACTGTCATCTGTACTAATTAACCTGGAGGCATGTTAAGACCAAATTAAACAGGCTATCAACTTAAAAGCCCCTGAAGCTTACCGCAGCCACTGGGGCTTTGTTCCACACAGAGGCACAACAGAACGAACTGCAAGGGAGTGTCTGAATCCCAGGGAGGGATTTGCCTTGTTGGGAATCGCTCCTAATGACCAAACAGAGTGAAGGATGATTGATTCTTGCGGCTGTGGCTCAGTGACAGGCAATTTAACATTTTAGGGTGGGCAGAAATCGGCGAAGTAGGGGTGCTGCAAGGCCTCTTCAGCTGAAATCCTCTGAACAGGATTACACTTCAACAGGTTCTGGATGTTGTGAAACAAAATAATTTAGTAGTTGAGCAGATTTATGTGAGCAGAAATGTAAATTGGCAACATATCTGAATAAGTTTGCTGCAGTAGCTAAACAACTGTCTTAGCTCACTGATACTGCATAACAACACACAAAAAACAACAAAATGTTCAAAATACCTGCAGTAGGTCCCTTCCTGTGCTACTTAATTTAGGAACCACATTCACAAGGGAGGTGGTGGCCGGATACATGGGGTACGGCTGGAGAAAAGGACAAGAGCTCCTTAGCAGTCTCTAGGTAGACAGGTGTACTTCAAAACATTTAAATATTGCTTTAAGTGAATCTTTTTCAGAAATTTAACAAAAAAGGTCAGCCTTAATAGCTGCAAAAATTTCTTTGGTACTTGAAACACTGATTTCAGTAGTAGTCCATGCCTGGTGAAGTTCCCAAAAGCTCCTAAATGGGCTACACTCATGACTGTTGCTTGTGAACATTTTTCCTGCAATCATTTATCCATCCGTTCAACTTTCCATTCGGATACCGCTCTCTGAAAATCCATGCACTTCACAAATGTTACTTTGCAACCAACCCTCTTCGATGAGTGGATCAAGATATCTTATTTTTTTATGGACATACAATAAAAGCCATACACTTAAAAATATTTTTGGGGATCTACAATGTTTGATTAAAGGGAAATTTTACTTTCACATATATTAGGGTTGGGCAATTAATTGCATTTGCAATATAATCACAATTTAGAAAATAAATGCAATTTTCAAATTGGTGAGGCACTCAATTTGTTATTAAAATCCATTTAACAAGAATAAGGCACTAAATTTCTCCTTCCAGCTGTTTAGGCGGCAGTATGATTAAAGTAGGCATAATGCTACACAGAAGGGAAGAGTTGCAGCTAGCACCTAGATGAATGCGTTATAGGAGAAGTATAAACTTTGTTGTGAAAGTTTAACAGTAAAGTCCTGCAAAACTGGATTCTGGATGAGCAAGGCTCGAGGCCATGAAAAAACTGAAATCCTGGTGTAAAACATTGAAAAAAAATAAATAAATAAAATAAAACAGCAAATATTGTTTGAAAATAATCACAATTTCTATTTGTTAAAAGTTCAGCCCTAATATGTATATACATTTATACATATGAATGATTGGATACCTAGAAATAAATATGTTCAATATTACTGAGAAATATCTGCCCAAAGTAAAGATAGTGTTACTACTATAAGCTCGACAAAGGTGAATGTACCTTATAATCAGGAAGTTTTGTCATCGTTGGCCACTGCTCCTCTGTTGGTGTCCCCAACAATGTTCAAGTGGTTAAGGACCATGTTTAAAGCAAAGTTTCCAAGAATATCATTGACAATAGTGACCTCTTCTTAAATACTGAAGCTAATCAAATTGTGAAGAAAAGGATATCTGAAGATCCTTTTCAACTGGTCATCCACATCATTGCCAGGGAATAATGGCCTTCCAGCATTAGCCAGCTCTAAAACAACAGAGAAAGCCACAATAAAAAAAATAAAAAAAGAAAAATCATATAAAAGAATGCATCATAGGAACTGTGTTGCTCATTGCAAACATCATACAAACTTAACTGTTCCTGTAGTGAAATAGACAGGTTCTTTTTTAATACACTGCCATCCTCAATTAAATTAGTAACAAGTCATTCAGGTTGAAACAAATGGGAGGAAGCAGTGTTCCTAGTTGGTAAACAGAACGCATTGAACAGCAAACCCACTTATCAGGTACATCTAGCCTTTAGCGAAGCCGTTTGCTTTTGCTCTTTGTCTTTTAAGGCCCTGTTCTCCTTGATTATTGCAGGAAGCATGAAAATGCAGAAGCAGCTGTCAGGATGAACATATTGAGATAACATCCGTTTGACGCATTTGTGTTGGAAAATCCAAGGATTTCTAATATGTTTATAAACGATGTCCCCTCAAGAGCAGGAAGTCATTTTGTTTTATGGTAATGGGACAAAGGGTAGGAAGGAGGGTATTGAATTACCTTCCAAGATACTGAGCGGTCACATTATACATTTTTAGATAGGTGACATCCCAGCGATGCTATTTTTATTGCCATAACTCAAGCACACTTAAAGCAGAATCATATATACAGAAGGCAAATTAAGAAGTTCTTGTTGATATAAAAGTACTTTTTATATTAAGGGTAACCCTTATGCAAATTGCATAAACAAATGTTTTCAAATGGTTCAATAGCTTAACAAATTCTTTTAATAGTATTGTGTCTGCCTGAAAAATAAAAGATGCAAAGAAGGGAATCATGGTATTGTGTTATTTATTGGAGTATGTAAGAAAGCTATTAAATGTAAATGAAGTTGACAAAACATCCCAAAATATATTTATAAACTATTTTTTGTGTCATTTTCTCCTCTCAGAATCAAAGATATTTTTTGGTATATGCTAATTGAGTAAAGCAAAGATTACACAAAATTAATAATTGAATAAGACCAATTCAGAAAAGTAACTTTACCATGCAGGACTGATTTAAGCCACTGCTTGTAGAAGAGCCTAAGAACTCAAACCCTCGTCTGCCATGGCTGAGTTCAGGGGATTTTTTTGACAAGCTTTGACAAATAGTTTTTCATTTTTGTAAATGTATATTTAATTTGAAGGCTGTAAGAGGCTTTCAGACAAACAAGCTATTAGTAAATCACACCATATCCAATCCCCCCCCATGTAGATCCGCCCCTGCTGTGGTCATAATGTCATTGGTGCACAGAATGTCAGCAGGGACCTGTGCATTCAATCGTGTTGGCTTAAAAACAATCTCTAGTATTTTTAATGGGTCTATAATTCCTGCACAAAAAAATCTTCCAGCTTTGCTTTGGGAATTTCTTCTTTGTAAAATAAAAAAAAAAAACATAAATAAATACCAGGAAACTCATTTCTGTAATTAGTCTTCAGTAAGAAACTAGGATATATTTCAATAGACATAGAGCAAAGGAAAAATCATCTTCTCAGTCGACGGGATTGTAGGTATCAGTTACAAACATGTCATACTGAATAAGCTTATGGTTGTTTTGGTAATTAAATGGAAAATAAGTTGATGAAACAACCACAGAGGGGAGGAATGAACAAATCAAGCTAAACAAAACAGTGGCAGAACAATCACCAGCATAACAGTTAAACAATTTCGTGATGAAGGTAAAATGTGTCATGCATTAAAATCCAGCTTAAATAAATAACGGCTCAGAGTCTAACTAACACATCTAAATCAGGGTTTATACAGGAATGAATAACTCTAACTTAATGCTTTTCAATGCTCTTTTAATGCTCTTAGAAATAACTTTAATGCCACCAACAGGTACCCGTCGACAGGCTGCAGCCTGGGTCCCGAATTCCTCGTTTTCCAGCCACTTTTGTTGAAATGTGCTTCCCCCCAATTCTCTAGCTTTTTCTCCTACTTAAGCTTCTTTTCTGAACATACAGCTTTGCGGTCAACCGGAAGCAGTTTCACGCAAATATATTGTGATATAATATATATGACAAAATAGTTTTTATAAACATTTTTTTAATAAAGCATTTTAAATGCAACAATAAACATTTAATGATTTTAATGCCAATTAAGGCCTTAATTTGAAAAATAATTTAAATGTAAATGTAATTTAGATCTTAAATTTAAACAATATGTTGCATTAGTCATTTGTTTCACTACCCAATAAGGAATTTCAGTTCAGTGTTTGCCTTGCTCCAGTTCTCAATATAAACCAACACCTCTGGATTTACGCACTGACCTAATGTACAGCGCTCCATAAATAAACCCAGCTTGGCTTTCTTAAGCTTGGCCATTTAAACTTTATGAGCATCGTGAGACAGAGCCCTGACTGCAATAATTAATTCCTGCAATTAAATGAGCTTTGTGCTTAAGTGAATTAATTACGGGGTTTTTTAAAATCCCACTGGTGCCTTTTTTTTCCTCTGACAAAATAAAAAACCTTATAAAACTATTATAAAATGCCTCATAACAGACCTGCAAATATACATCCAGCTGACCACATGTCAATAGAGGTAGAATAAAGTTTAGCACCAAACAGCACATCTGGAGGACGGTACCACAACGTCACGACCTGCAGAGAAACAAACCCAAAATATAAGAATAACAAGACGTATAACATTTAACCAGTTTGTAAAAACAAAAGCAAAAAAAAAAAAAAGTATGTAGTATCAACTAATTCTTTTTTTTTTTTTTTTTCAAAAATCACAGATTTTTTTCTGGTCTTGAAAAATGACAGTCGACATCCGAGCAGCAAAAGACAAAACTGATTCGATGAGACCAAGACTGAACTTTAGTGTGCTGGTGGCAGTATTATGCTTTGAGGATGCTTTTAGCAGGGAGAGGGGTCATAATTAAAGTTTACTGATAGAGCCAAATAAATGGCCACACGAAAATCAAAAGGAGATAAAACTTCTTTTTTTTTAAAGACTTAGGATGGATTGGGACTCATCTCTCTGTAAAAAAAATGAAATGATTCAGATCAAAGTATAATCAACTGTTGGAATCCTCCGAGTCCAGTGAGAAATGAAAGTGAGAATCTTTTAAAACACATAAATGGGATAAATAGATAGAAAGGTATCCCAAAAAGCTCACAGCTGAAATTTTTGCTAAATTTGGTTCAAGTAGGTATTTAGTATTTCTTAGGAAGACTAAGAATATGATCATGTACCAATATTTTTTATTGATTTTTATTTTTGTGCATTTATCTATGTTTATTTAAAAATGGGGCTCTTTCCCTCTTGCTTATAAATAATGTGTTACTTTGTGGTTTTATATCAGTAAAGTTCCAATAAATACACATAATTTATGTTGTATTATATTATTTAAGACAGTCTCTCACTTTTAACTGTTGGTCAAATGTGATCTTTTGATCATATTCCTTGTGGTAGAAAGAATACAATATTTTCCAATAAAACCGATGTGGATTTGTAAGCAATGTCATCTTACACTCAAATTTTTGGAGCATACATTGAAAAAAGTTCATAAAAACATTATTCACATGAATATTTTAAATCTCGAAGCCAATAAGCTGAAAAATAGTCTCTGATAAGGTTTCTGCTACGTTACCCTTAGGAACCAAAATGTTGTTATTGCTTAGACATGGTTTCATTACTAGAGGCATAAATAAACACCTGTGATGTAAATGAAGTACGGCTTACCTCTGCTGAGTAACACCTCACAGGAATACCAAAAGCTCGAGCCAATCCAAAGTCAGCAAGCTTCAATTCCCCATTCTACAGATAAAGAAAAAAAAAGGCATATTTTTTTTTATGGCACTATAAACCCAGTACATCAAGTCCAGCCTTACCAATAACTTCAACATTTGCTTCTGCTACACTCATAAAAAGTCAAAAAAGTAATAATCCATATTCAAGTGACATTTTAACATTGAAAGCTAGTTTTAACATTGTCAAAGTAGCAAACTGACAGGCTCGTACTGGAGTCAATGTTTACCATAATTCATGTTAAAGTCCAGAACTCACTCTGTTGATGAGGAGGTTTTGCGGCTTCAGATCTCTATGAAGAACATTTCTACTGTGACAGAAAGCGAGTCCCTTCAACAGTTGGTACATGAACGACTGCAAAGAAAAGACAGTTTGCTGTATTAAAACCAGAGCCAAAAACACAAATCAGCCTTTTTTTCGTGGGTGTCTGTGTGTGGGTGCTTTTTTTTCATGGTGGGGACCATTTTCCATAAATCTTAACACATTATGGGGACCGTGTGCTCTAATGGGGACCAGTGTCTGGTCAGGCTAAGGTAGTTAGGTTTAGGACCAAAGGGCAGATTAGACTACTGCCACCGCACACATCAAATGTCGCCTGCGTCTGGTCGCGAACCAGTTTTGCTGGTATGCTTCTGCATCCGTCAGTCTGGAATTTCTAGGGACCCACAGCAGTTTCCTGGCAAAGTGCAAGGGGGAGCCTATTCGAGAACTCGCGAGAACTTCGGCGAATGGTCACGAGAACTTTGGCGGCACCGGCGGGAGTGATTATCTTCCAAAACAACAATGCCGTGTCTGCAATATATCACGGTCACTGAGATTGATCTAGAGTTGCTAGTGATTGTTGAGGAACAGGTTCTGTTAATAGAGTTGGCAAAAAGACTGATTAACCTTTCGTCGTAGTTGTCCATTGAATCCAGAAGGACGACCACACAGACAGCCGAAAAGGCATACCAAGGACCAATCACAGCTGCTTTTTGTCTGCACACTTCCGCTTGAGATCTGCGTGGGTTTGCAACTGTCCAATGCGTAGTCAGGATTTGACAGTTGCAGAGGCTATGCGTCAGAAGCATAAATTGGCCTTAAGGAGGAAACAAGTTTGGGTAAGGATTAAGCCCGGCGTATACTACGATTTATTTCAATCGTTGCACGCAGCTGCTGCTCACACTATACGATTAACCACAGAGTTTAGTCATACAGTATAAGCTCACAGCTCACAATTTATGTCCAGCTTGATGCTCTGATGTAATCTACCTGCCCACACTGTACGACTAAAAACCACGTCGGACTCAGCTCTGCAGTGGTCGGGAGACCACAACGGTCCAGAGAAAATCAAACATGTTTGATATTCTCCCGACCTCACGATTCCTGATCGGGAGGTGGTCGTGAGAGGCTGATCGCCGCTCGTAACCCCCTGTACACTACACAATTCACGATCAGGCTGAAAGTCAGCCCGATCGAAAGATTGTCGCACGACTGGAAAAATGCCCTGAAAATCGCACAGTGTACGCCGGGCCTTAGGGTTAGGGTCAAGGTTAGGCTGTAGAAATTGGTTAGAAATTAATGAAAGTCAATTGAAGGTCCCCACAAGGATAGAGAAACATAGACAGTTTGTGTGTGTGTGTGTGTGTGTACCTGTCTAGTGATCAGAGTGAGGACTATTTTCCAATTTCACCATCACAATGAGGACCAATTGTTGTAAGGACATTTTGCCGATACTCACAAGCTATTTTGCTAATGGTTAGGTTTAGGGCTAAGGTGTCAATTGGGTTAGGGTTAGGTGTGCATTGGTAATGGTTGAGGTTAATAGGGTTAGTTTTAGGGTTAAAGAGAGAACAAACATGTATGTGCGTGTGTGTCTGGGGAAACATTTGATGCTGTATTTCTTATGTCTCACCTTCACAGTTTCAGGATCTAGATCCCCGTTACAGCTGTCAAAATATTTCTTCAAATCCTGCATTGGATCAAAGATATTTTGGTCTTAGTCTCTAATAATCAAAGTCTAAAAAACCTTTACATTAGGTTGGATGGGTAACTCACCTGATCACAATATTCAAAAACAAGCGTTAACTTCTTGTCGCTGTGCAACACATCATGTAGTCTAAAAGAAATAAAAAATAAGATTGAACAATTCTCGGTGGTCCATGTTGGTGACATCAGATTCAAAGCTGCTCAGATAAGCATTTACAGATAAGTGGACACAATCAAAATGAATTATTTAAAATTTGCAGCAGGTTTACCTGACAATGTTTTTATGCTTTAGTTCCTTCAGAAGACATATTTCTCTTAAAGCTGAACTTGGAACCCCCTGAAAAACAAACAGAATCCACTCTGATTTAGTATTAGTCTGCTAAAACCTCATCACTAAACTGTGCAAGTGTCAACGTGTCCAAACCTCGTCATCGTCGTCCAGTCTGACCCGTTTTAAAGCCACAATTTCATGGGTTTCTCTGTTTTTAGCTTTGAAAACTGTTCCATATGTACCTACAGGATAAACAAGGCCACATTTAACCACATAACAACTGCATAGCAACGAAAGCTAACAGCCACCATATCGTTAGCTGGATCCAACATCCTTAACATATTTGAACAAAATCATCTCAACTGTAGCTACAATGGTAGATACAGTGCTGTGTGCTATTTTCTGGGCTAGTTAACACAATAAAATATCTGACAGCTTAGCTTAAATTAGCTAGCCGTGCTAGCAAAGCTTAGCTGTGTTACCTCGGCTAACAGCTATAACCTTCTCTGTTTATTATAGACTTACCCTCTCCAATCTTTTCCAACTTTTCGTATTTCTGCATGATTAGTCAGTGAAGCCAGCCTAGAGCTAACTGGTAATCCAAAACCGACAAAATGCCCCCAGAACAGGGCAGAAAGGATGAAACGGCAGCTAGCTTGCTAGCTAGCTGGCTGGCTAGTCTTGCTGCTTGCCTGGAGTCGGATTGTCTGTGGATTGTAGAAGCACATCCAGTCTTGTTGGCCATCTACTGGCTGAAAAAAAAAACAAAAAAAAAAAACTGAGACGTCGCCTATGAATGCGCTTAAAATGTCAGGTCCATTTTTTATCATGACTTTACATTTAAATCCCATATCAAACGTCTTTCTACAATTTCCTTCATTCATCTAAAGAAAATATCGGGGAAAAATGAATTTTCTTGTTCAGGGTGTGATTCTGGGAAACTATTAAATTTATTTATCATTTCAATATTGGACTAGTCATTCTTTAGTATCAGAAAGTCCATAATCTATAAAAGTATTTAGCTGATTCAAAATGCTGAAACCAGAGTTCTGATGAAAATCATACTTTCTCTTTCCTCCATTGGCTTCTCACATATAAAGTCCTAAATAAGCAAGGTTGATCTTATAATAAAGATCTGATTGTTCCTTATGATCCTAACAGAGCATTTTAGACAAACAAATAATCACTAAAACCTTGCATCATATCAGTTTTGTCCATGAGGGAAGAAAACGTTTCATCCAGCTGTGGCAGAGGTTAGGGCACCACTACCCCTACTGCAAGTGTACAGGTCCTTCTCAAAATATTAGAATATTGAGATAAAGTTCATTATTTTCCATAATGTAATTATAAAACTTGAACATTCATATATTTTAGATTCATTGCACACTAACTGAGATATTTCAGGTCTTTTTTTGTCTTAATACGGATGATTTTGGCATACAGCTCATGAAAACCCAAAATTCCCATCTCAGAAGCATATTTAATCTGACCAATAAAAGAAAAGCGTTTTTAATACAAAAAAGGTCAACCATTAAAAATAATTATGTACAGTTATGCACTCAATACTTTGTTGAAATGAGAAATGACTGCTTCAATGCAGCGTGGCATGGAGGCAATCAGCCTGTGACACTGCTGAGGTGTTATGGAGGCCCAGGATGCTTCGATAGCGGCCTTCACCTCATCCACAGTGTTGGGTCTTGTGTCTCTCAACTTTCTCTTCACAATATCCCACAGATTCTCTATGGGGTTCAGGTCAGGAGAGTTTGCAAGCCAATTGAGCACAGTGATACCATGGTCAGCAAACCATTTACCACTGGTTTTGACACTGTGAGCAGGTGCCAGGTCATGCTGAAAAATGAAATCATCATCTCCATAAAGCTTTTCAGCAGATGGAAGCATGAAGTGCTCCAAAATCTCCTGATAGCTGCATTGACCCCATGCTTGATAAAACACAGTGGACCAACACCAGCAGCTGACATGGCACCTCAGACCATCACTGACTGTGGGTAGATGACACTGGACTTCTGGCATTTCCTTCTTCCCAGTCTTCCTCCAGACTCTGGCATCTTGATTTCCAAATGACATGCAAAACTGAGCAACAGTCCAGCTGTTTCTGGTTCAAAAGTGGCTTGACCTGGGGAATGCAGCACATTTAGCCCATTTCCTGCACACGCCTGTTCACGATGTTTCTACTCCAGACTCAGTCCACTGCTTCTGCAGGTCCCCAAAGGTCAGGAATCGGCCCTTCTCCACAATCTTCCTCAGGGTCCTTCACATCTTCTCGTTTTCTGCCACACTTTTTCCTTCCCACTGAGGTGCCTTGATAGAGCACTCTGGGACCAGTCTATTCATTCAGAAATATCTTTGTGTGTCATACCCTCTTGCTTGAGGGTGTCAGTGATGGCCTTCTGGACCACTGCTCCCCAAGGGGACAGATTAAAATGCAGAGAGTACATTTCGTCGCTCTGTACTTGTGACAGCGTAATGACAATAAAAGCTGGAAAAATAAAAATAAATACTACCTCCACATTGTACGTAAAACATGTCCACACAGGCTTTGGTCCCCATAAGGCATGTCGGTCCTTGGAAGGTTAGCAAATATACCAACAATAGGTAACATATACAAGTACTCCCACACGCACCCCACCTTGACTTATTAAAAAGTCAAAATTAGTAGTTTAGAAATATTTAAAGTTGCTGAAATCACATGTGTGACATGTTAAATAGCCATGGTACAGAACCTAAAGTAGTACATTAGGACAATCACATTAGGAGGGACACGATCAAATCAAAAATAGCAGCTGCTAATACTGTAATAACTGAACGTTGCACCTGAATAGGTGGATTAAAGGATTTTTTTTTTTTTTACCAATAAGGAAAAATCCTGCATACAAAGGTAGAATGGTATCAGTTTAAACTACCTTATAGTGTTAAAGAAAACTAATAAAGAAATCTACAGAAATCTGTGCTAAACTGATATTATCCATATCTAAAAATATAAAATAAATAAAAATAGCCATTGTCATCTTATTTTTGTAATTTATCTTCTATGTTTTATTTTCCAAAAGATAATTTTCATTATTAAGCTCAATAGTATTTTTAAAAACATATTTTAATCCAGTTGGTCCTCTCTTGCATATACATACTGTGTAGAAATGTTTGATTTGTCTATTAAGATAAAAACAGCCATTTCATTTTACACCTATTTGATGTAATCCATCAATTAAATACAGTGTAATTTATTGTTTCTTATAGAAAACACGTTTGAATTTTCATTTCTGTCCCTCGGCTCTTTGTCTGCGGATCAGATCAGAATAAAGTCCTCCTTTGCTCAGCAGTTCCAAGTGTGTTCCAGCCTGTGTGAAAAGAACAAGCTATTAGATTCAATGAAATGCAACGGATAGCTGCAAGTAAGATAAAAATTATATATTATACATTTATAAAGATTAAATTAAATAATTCTCTTTTGCTGCTTCTATCTTTAACTTGCAAATAGTTCTACTTGATGAGGCAATACACTTAAGTATAGTGTCAGTACTTCTTCCCATCCTCACCTCCACAATCCGGCCATTGCTCATGACACAGATCAGATCAGCCCCTTGAATGGTACTCAGCCTGTGGGCGATGATGAGCACAGTGCGACCCCTTGTGGCCCTGTCCAGAGCTTCCTGGACCACCCGCTCAGATTCTGCATCAAGAGCACTGGTGGCTTCGTCCAGCACCAGGATGCTGGGGTTCTTGATCAATGCTCGAGCGATGGCGATGCGCTGCTTCTGTCCACCTGATAGTGTCACACCTCGTTCGCCTATAATTAGAAACTTAGAATTTTAGAGCTGACATGCAACAGTGTTGAAAAAGACAAAGCGTAAATGAGAGCACGTACCAACCATGGTGTTATAGCCATCAGGAAAGCTTGAAATAAAGCGGTGAGCATTAGCTTGCTTTGCAGCACTAATGACCTCAGCATCTGTGGCATCTGGCTTCCCGAAGCGGATGTTCTCCATAACAGATGATCCAAACAGAACCGGCTCCTTCAAACAAAACGAAAAACAAAAGAAGCCAACATTTAAATCTAAACTCAAGAAAAAATAATCAATGAGGGTAAGAAGTCATGTTTATGTTATTTAATCTGGACACAATCATAATGAAGAGTCTCTACCTGATTGATGAATCCAATAACTTGGCCCCTTAGCCAGGCCAAATCTAGCGTACGGATATCGAGTCCGTCCAGCATGACCACACCGCTGGTTGGGTCGTAGAAACGCTCCAGTAAGGAGGCGACTGTGGACTTCCCTACAAGGTTCAACTTTTATGAGCTCACCTTGATGTCATTTAGATGTTAACAAAATTAAACGTATTGCCATGGTGTCAGAGTACCTCCACCAGATTCACCAACAATGGCCACAGTTTTACAAGGTGGCAGACTTAAACTGAACTTCTTCAGGACTTCATGGCCGGGTCTTGTTGGATAACTTTTGATAAAAACAAAACAACAAAAAAATGTATTTCCTAACATCTGACAACTTTTAGTTTTAACATATAAACGTAACTGCAGATTGAAGATGTTGAAACCTGAATGAAACGTTCATAAAGTCCACTCTTCCTGTCAGAGAGTGGTAGGGGATGCGTCCTCCCCCTGAGAGAGGAATAGTTGGCTGCAACGACAGGTATTCAAAAACCCGAGCCCCAGAGCTTATCCCTCTAACCACCTGTAGGGAAACAAGACAAGAATTTAGACAATATATCGTTTACAGTGCAGTAAGTGCTTTGCAAAGGTACTTTTCCAGACAAGTACAATGCACTGCATAATGGTGACATAGATGATTTTCAAAGTCTGAAAATTCATTCATTTTGAGGCCCTTGAATAAAATTAAGTCCAACAATTATTATGAAAAGCTATTAAAAAAATTAAATAAAGAAACACAGCAAAGCCCCACCTAACGGTTCTGTACAGCATCTCAAACCAAAACAG